TTGTTGAAATAAGAAATTTATTTAACAATTTTTCATCTATGTAACTTGATGATTTTTTTTTTTAATTTTAATTCACCTCCTCAAGGCCGAGACGGCCACTACAGACGAGGAGGCTACTTATTTTGTGGCTATAACCCTCTCTCAACTCTATAACTCCGAAACACGAACCTTGACGAACAAGGCCGCTGCGCGGAGAAACGAGTTGATTTAGATTATATTATGTGTAAAAAAAGATTGTTCGAAGAAAATAATTATGAATGGTACAATATTGTCAATATCCAAGACAATTCTGTATGATGGCAGAGTATAAAAAGTAAATTAAAAAAGTCATAGTTTACACTCTTTGTTACTTTCATAATTTTTATATAATTACATTTGCATTTTATAACCAGAATGTGTTTTATTTATTTTAATTTAAACTCCATTACAGTTGAACAGCTTGACATTAACTATACATTAAAAAAAAAAAAACTTTTTGTTCTTGAGAGATATTCATTGACCGGCTTATCTCTTTGGCTGAGTATTATATGTACATGACATAACAAAGCGGATATATTTAAAAATGACTTTATTGTAATACTTTAGCTCCTATAATACCAAAGCCTACATTAACTAGTCTATTTTTTACTTTTTTAACTAAAGTTTTAAATTTTCGTTCTGTTCTATTGTGCAAGTTATCTTTATTTTATTTTAATAATTCAGCAAGAGATAAATAAAAAAACACACGGTATAACAGAAATATCAACCTAATTTGGAGTTATGTTAACGCCTGCAATCCAGTTTATATATGTTCTTACTTTACCTGATGTTATTATATTAATCCCTAACAAAAAGAATACAATAAATAGTTTAAACAAAATTTTATAAAGATTAAATGGTCTTTAAAATATTATCCTTATAAATATAGATTAAATAAATATAGATTAAATGGTCTTTATTAATACTCTTATAAATATAGATATGTTTTAATCATTTATATATAATAAACATATCTATATATATAATATTTATATATATAGATATGTTTTAATCATTTATATATAATAAACATCTAACAATAATGATGTTAATAATAAATAATAATAATTCTAAAAATCAAAACATTAACAATAATATTAACATTAATGATAACTATAATAATAAAAATGGTATTAATAACAATAAAAATAATGATATTAATAAAAATAAAGGTAATAACAATGAAAATAATAACAATATTATATTTAAATTTATCTATACTTACACACACACACACACACACACACATACATACTTAAATACATACATGTGTGTGTGTGTATATATATGTATATATATATATATATATGTGTGTGTATATATATATATATATATATATATATATATATATATATATATATATATATATATATATATATATATATATACTATATATATATATATATATATATATATATATATATGTATATATATATATATATATATATATATATATATATATATATATATATATATATATATATATATATATATACATATACATATATATATATATATATATATATATATATATATATATATATATATATATATATATATATATATATATATATATGTATATGTATATATATATATATATATATATATATATATATATATATATATATATATATATATATATATATATATATATATATATATATTAGGGTGTCTAAAAAAAACATTTTTGAAAATAATCTGCTTACCCCCTAAATGTGTTCTATCTAATACAAAAACACTAGGTTTAAATTTTTTTTGAATAAAAAATATTTTAAGGGGTCCCTCAAGACCCTCGAATATTTAATGGGTCTCTAATATTTTCGAAAAAAAGGTTTTTCAAAAATATGTCAACCTGGTACTCAAATGAAGCGAAATTATATAAATATTTCAAAAATAATATTCAATTCGAAATATTTTTAACTTATTTATCAAAATTATCATAAAAAAACATTAGAAATGCATTTTTTTCATTTTTTCTTTAAAAACGCAATTTTTTATGTAATAAAACCAAAAATAACAATTTTGTTTCGAAATGAATATTATTTCTAAAATTTTTATATAATTTCGCTTCATTTGAGTACCAGGTTGACATATTTTTAAAAAACTTTTTTTTCGAAAATATTAGGGACCCATTAAATATTTGAGGGTCTTGAGGGACCCCTTAAAATATTTTTTATTCAAAAAAAATTTAAATCTAGTGTTTTTACATTAGATAGAACACATTTAGGGGGTGAGAGCAGATTATTTTCAAAAATGTTGTTTTTTGGGACACCCTAATTTATATATATATATATATATATATATATATATATATATATATATATATATATATATATATATATATATATATATATATATATATATATATATATATATATATATATATATATATATATATATATATATATATATATATATATATATATATATATATATATATATATATATATATATATATATATATATATATATATTATTTTTTTACCCTGACATGTTTTTAATCTGACACATGCATGCCAAGGTGCGATCCAAATATAGCATAATAAATACTCATAAGTAGGTGTGCGGAAATTCTATTCCGATTTACGGAATAGAATTTTGTACTAAAATTCTGTGCCACGTTTTTTGAATTTTTTCTGAATAAGCGTCAGACAAACGTTTTGTTGTGGTGTTTCTTTTTAGAAAAGTATATCAACATAGATTATTTTTTGAAAAGAAGAGACTTAGATCTATATTTTTATGAATCAATTATGTATGGATGATTTACTTTTTGTTGACTTTATAGATATTGAAAATTTACTTGATGTTGTCACGTGAAATTTGTATTGATGGAATGCTGAGACATTTTGCAAAACTACTGAGACATTTTTTTACATCCTTTATTTATTCATCTGCCAAATTTCAAGAAAAAATAATATGTAGCAGATAATTTAAAAAGTGTAGCAGTTTTGGTACCTAAATTTTGTTTTCACAAATTCGCGATGGGTGTTGTTGTGGTTGGGGGAGAAAGTCGGAATCTACATACTATGTATATAACAATAACAGTAATAATAATACTGTCATTATTATTGTTGTCGTTATTTTAATAATTTCATTGTTTTATTTTTATTATTCAATCATAATTTATGTATATAATATAAATACACTATATTATGGTTTATTCTTTAATATTCTTTTAGATAAAATAATATTCTTTTATATTCTTTTATATTCTTTTATATTCTTTTATATTCTTAATATATTCTTTCATATTCTTCATATTCTTTTAGATAAAATTTTATAGTCTTTTATATTCCTAATAATATTCTTTTATATTCTTAATATTCTTTTAGATAAAAAGCAGATATTTGTTTAACAATCATTGTTAATCTCATCAATCAATCTCAGATTGATTTTTGTAAACAAAAAATTCATTTTTGTAAACAAAACAATCTCAGAAAGATTTTGAAAATCTTTGGATATTACCATATCTAGTAAGGTATTTATGACTATAATCGTGACATTTGTATTTAAAAATTTTTGTATAATTTTTGTTGTTTTTCTGTTTCAAGCAAGGAATTAAAAAAAAAATGTCTTTATAATTCCTGTTATGTCTGAAACTAAAAAGTGTTATCCTTTAAACATTAGGATAAAAATTTTAGCATGTTGTCAAATGTGCTAACAGGTAATATTCCATTTTTGTTAGAGAAAATTATGCAGTATTTTAGTGTGGTTATTAATAACGTACCCCATCACAGTACTGTTGAGCAAATGGCTCATGAATTAAGAAGTATATCAGAATTACAAGCAGCAGAATGGGCTATCAATAATTCTCAGCTTACATAGTAAGTGAGAATTATTGATAGCCCACCTTACGTCCAAAGATAAATGCCTTGTTATTGCTCTGGATCAATGTCCGTGAGGAACAGCTGATGATTACATTTTTGGGCATTACATTGTACTGATTACATTGTATTGATTACATTGTAGGGCAGTAGATCATCTAGCTTTTATTTATTCGAATTTTCATTTACGTAATTATGATGAGTGTTGTTAATTGAGTATTGAAAATATTTCCATCACAATATCAGACAGAGTTGCAGTTAACCATCTAACCATAAGCAAAGTTAGTGCAATTTGGGGTAAAACTCTGAATTAATTGAATTTTTATTTGCACCCTCTTGATACAATTGCTACTGAATGTTGCTCAGCATTGAATGTCTAGAGACAGAAAAGTTGAATTATTTGGCAATGATTATGTAGCTGTCAAAATTGATTTGGCTATGAATAAGATAAGGTTTAAAGACGGTGAAAGCGATCCAGAGGGATTTGTTACTTTTTAAGACCACAAAAAACTACCTGGTGTATCATCCCTAGATATCGAGGAAACCGTCTTTATATTTTCTTTTTAATACTTGTCATATATTTATTAAACACTATACTAATTTTCTAAATTTTCTGCTCTGCAAGAAGCATTTTGTAATGCTACCACTTTAAAAAAAATGTGTGTGCTTGGTGTATTTGGGAAACTGCTAAGTGGTCCGTGTATGACAAAGTTTTATGTATCAGCTGAGGATGCAAATTTTGATCATCTCACCAGTATTCAGATTGTAAAAAACATTTTGGAAACAGTTAATGTTTGCAAATCTAATCCGGCTGCACTGTTTTGCAGAGCAACAGATTTTTTGCTTCCCTCAAACGTTTTTGAACCAATGACATATTAATGCTGCATTGATGACCAGGTTATTAACATGACTTCAGCTTGTCTTAATGCAGTAAAGGATGTATTGATTAGACAATGTAAAAGGTACTTCTCCTTTTTCATTACAGAGACACTCAAGCAGGAAACAGCTAGTGCAAGGTTTCACAATATAGATTGTGAAGAGTTAATTGGTATGTTTAGTGAATCTAAAGGAAGATTCCCTAATACAACAATTTTATATAATTCTTGAATGTAAAGGAATAAGTGAATGTAAAGGAACATCCCCTTATGCAACAACTTGTTATATTTCTTGCAAAATAAGATGAAAAAAGAATAGGACTATTTATTATCTTGATAGTTTAGATTACTAACTAAGTAAGAAAATGTAATTAATGGTCCATTTTCTACAACATGCTCAAATTCTGTTTCGATCTGTATTATATAAGAGACAGACATGCAAGCATCAAATGTTGAATGAACAAGATAAAAAGAAATTATAACAAAAACTTAAGTTAACGACTTTCAGCCAGATTAAGAATTTTTATAAACAATTGTCTACAAAGCAACTGGATGATTTAGATGATGTTATGTCTGACAGAATTGTTAGTAAAAAACTATATCATGAATGGTATGATATTGAACAATCTAAGTATATGATGGCAGAGTATAAAAAGTAAAAAAAAAAGACTGCATGACAAAATTTACACTATCTCTTACTGGAAAAAAGATGAATCTGATTCTGAAGCTGGTGATTATTGCATGAAAAAATTCCAGCTGGCCCCAGATGTTGTATCAGGAGTTTTTTTTTTTTTTTTTAATGTTAATGTGTATTTGTTTTTAATGTTAGTATGTATTGTTTTCATAATTGAAAGGTAAGTCCAAAATAAATACTGCAAATGTTAGAACTTGAAAAGTCTTAACATTTGAAAAGTATCGCAAGTGTTGTGACTTATAAAATTGGTACAGAAGTGTTGTGACTTGCACAAATTATTGATAGACAGCTCTGGCTTACCTTCTTGTGATGCCTATCGTTAAAAAATGATTAATATTTTGTTTCATTAGTGGAATTTCAAATTGTTTACTAAAAGCCAAGATACTAATAAATTACAATGGGTATTTTGTTTACACTAAATTACATAATTTTAAGTATTGTATTTTTAAAACATTTTACATGTTTTTTTAGGTTAGATGTTAAAGAATCAAACAGCTCTTTGCCTAAGAATTTAAATACTCTTACACATCTTGTATTAAAAATTAAAGTGTTAAAATTTTTGTTTATTTTTAACAATATTTTTCAATTTAAAGTTAAAAAAAAATTTTTAGATTGGAGGGGCACTTTCTCTTTCCTATGTGAAACTGGATAAACATTTGCTTTTTGTAAAGTGGTAAAATGTCTGTTTATACTAATTTTTGACGTTTGAAAATGTAAACAAATTTTTTAAATGACAAAAAATTCTTTTTTTAAATTCTTTTTTTAAATGACAAAAATTGACAAAAAAAATTAGGGGGGGGGGGTTAGGCGAAAGCGGGCGCACGCCCTTACCTCTCAAGTAAAAGTATACCATACTAACAAGTTGTAATGTAGTAAAGTATTTTTTTTTTTTTAATTTGGAAGGAGATTGGGGGAGGGGCAGTGCTGCGCGGGCGTACGCCCCTCACCTTGACTCGAGTTATACACCACTAACCACTAGTTGTAAAGTGCAACTAGTGGTTTGTGAAACTTAAATTTTATTTTTTGTTCTAGATTACTTATTTAATTGGAGATAATATTATTTTTAAAAATGGAATTATTTTTGTTAATAGTACGTGTTAAACAAGCACCACCACATCCACCCCTAACTCAAAGGTACACATCTCATATATGGTGGTGAGCTGGAATCAAAATATTGGAACTTCTGTTTGATAAAAAAGACAATTTTCAGTATTAAAATACTTTTTTATGATAGAATATTCAATTTTTTGGCGCTAAAAGTCGTAGTTCGGGGCCCCCTCTAGCCGTCCACTCACGCCCTATGGCTAGATGCTACTATAAAATTGTAGCCCACTCTTACATCTTTCTTTTGATACCAAATTATAGAAATTTCAACAAGAATTTGCATAGTTATAACAATTTTCGATACAAAAAAAATTATTTTGACCACAGTTTCTTTAACAATTTCATATATTCAAAAATTGTCACTAAAAACCTCATAACTTTTTTTTGAATTGTTCGATTTTGATAATTTTTTCACCGTTGAAATACTGTATTAATGCTCTTTTCAACGATATATAACAATATAATATTTTGTAAATTTAAAAATTTCTTGTCACATACCTATCATAAGTGTTTCAAAATTTACCAAATGTCTGATCTTGGTTAACATTCCAACTGATCGAATTAGCTTAGTCTGTAAGTAAGTTTGATGATAGAAAGTAAGAAAGACTCTCATTCAGCCAAAATCCAAGGTACTTCACAGTTTTTGACGAAGTTAATATTTTTCCATCAATGCTGAAAGTGCATTGTTCCTTGTTTTTTTATTTTAGTTTTTTTGGTTTTAAAGACAACTATTTTAGTTTTTGTAGCGTTTAGTGAAATTTAATTTGCACTAAGTCGAAATTTAAATAATAAATTGAAAAAAATTTATAAAATTAAAAAAAATAAAATCATACAAGAACCATACAAATCCCATATTTGGATCTACCATATTTGGTAGATCCAAATATGGGAGATAAATGTAAAACTCATAGTAGATGTGTTGTTAATGTTTTAACACTACAATATCAAAGAAAGTCTCAATCTTGAAATATCTAATTAGTTACTTAAAGTACAAAAACAAAGAAGTATAACATAATTTACTAAATTAAAAGATACATTAGTGGTGCATCTATGGTCATTAGAGAGGGCCCCCCTCCCCAACCTAAATAAGTGTAACATATAAGTAAATTTTTATTTGAAAGAAACAGTTTTGATTATTTGGAAAATAAGGTATTAAAACATTCTCCTACTACTGAGGACAGGGTCGGACTGGCTTGAAAAAACAACCCGGAAAATTTGGTTATGGCGGTCCACCTCATCTTATGTTTTATTTATTGTTATTTTATGTATGAACAAAAAAAATTTTATTCTTAACCTAAATATTGATCAAAAACAAATAACTCTAAAATTGAGGTCAATAAATAGTAACCACAATCGCTATTCACTACTAGTATAGTAACTTTTTCATCGTTTGACTAGTCGATGACAAAACATCAATAATTGCATTATTGTTAATTCTTGTAAGAAGGTCTTTTTCACAAGATATTACAAGATATTAGCACGAATGATTGAGTGGCTCATCAAATTCCTTAATCTGTTCAAAATATATTTAATTTTGAGAATGATCTTTTACAAGCTACCCAGTGGGCATTTCGACGTCGAACGAACGTCGAGCGACGTCGGATCTCGACGTCGGATCTCGACGTCGGATCGACGTTGGGTTTACGTTGGAAATGGAAATGTTATTTGACGTCGGATAAACTGACATCGCGCGACGTCGGCATTCCGATGTAAATCCAACGTGTTTTTGAAAACTAAAATACGTTACCTTAGGCAGGAATCGAACCTCGGTCTAATAGAAACTAAATCCTACGCGCTTACCACTACACCATAGGGACATATTATCTGAATTGTTTATTTAGTAATTTATACTTGTAGCTATTTGGGAATTATTACTTTGATAAGAAATAACTTTGTTTAAATATTATATAAATATTAAAACGAATAGTTATATATTATAAAAAATGTATACTCAAAAATGTTAATAGTTAAAAAACTATGCTAGTGCATCATACAAAACCTCATGATGTTTTATCAACCATTATTCAAACTTCTTTCCATTAATAAAAAACACGCTTAGTTCACATATTTATTGAAGAGCGCAATTGCACACATATTGTTGGGTTTGGATTAAATTTTCATCAGCGATGTCTTACGACGTTGTTCCGACGTCGTTTTAAGGACGTTGGATTGACGTCGGAAGACGTCAAAAGACATCGGAGTACGTTAATATTATGACGTTGCCCGACGTCTTTTTATCGACGTTGGATCGATGTCAGTACTGCGACGTTTTTTGGACGTCTTTTATAAGATATCGGAAAAACGTCAAAATACATCGAAACGACGTCAGGGGATGTTGAGATTAAGACATCGCCCGACGTCATTTTACTGACATCGGAACAACGTCGGAATAGGTCTTTTGACATCGCTGATGAAAATCGTACGTAAATCCGACGTCGGATTGACGTCGGGTGCCCACTGGGTACTTGTGACCAGGATAGTGTCAATACAAATTTGTATCGAGAAACAAATTTGAATACATAAGATTATGCAAATTGAACTTCTGGAGTACAAAGTAACAACAAATAATACATTTTTGGCAGAGTTTACATTTATTTCTGTGACTGTCGCTGTTTTCTACTGCTGGGATTCTAAAGACAGCTTCAAATTCTACGGATTTAGATTGTTAGATGTTGTCCGAGACGGAGTTAGATACTTTCATGTTAAATAGCACGTTATACTCATCTTCAAGAGATGTTTCAAAACATTTCCTTGCAAAGTACAACAATTCCGTTTAAAGCTGGTCTATTGTTACACAAGCATCAAGTTTTCAGAGCAACCCACTGAGGTGCTGCAATGCGTCACTAGGCATTTTTTCAAAAATTTCTTCAAAATTTCTTTGATCTAAACCAAATAAATCAGCATATTCCATGCTCAGATAACCTCTGTTTTAAGCTACTTATTGTTTGAATCATGACAATGTTGTGAACATTGACGAAAAATTTATCTTTCACACTTTCAAAAACAGTTTTGCGTTTTTTTTCCAAATATCTTAGTAAGAACTCTATCTTTCTCTCACCAACGGGTTTCACCGATTACAAATATATATATATTTTAATTTGTTAAATTTATGCCAAACATCGAAGCGTAAGTATGATTCTAATAAAATACTACACTTGTGTTCAGGGGCGGATCCAGCATTTTTTGGTGTTTAAAATAGCTAACTTCCAGACATGGAGCAAACTCCAAACATTTATATGTTTATACTTATATCAAATAAGGATGGTTTGCAAAAAATTGCAATGATTGGAGCCTGGGAACAAAAAAGCCCCAAAATTTGAGACGTACCTGCCCCAAACGTGAGAGCAACAAGTTGATAAAACGTTTTTCGTACTATTCTCAACAAGACTTACATTTATCCATAAATTTTAAATTTCATTGTAAAATATTTCAGCGTTCAAAAATTATGACCATGTAAAGTTTGAATCCCCCTCAATTCGAGGGGGTTACAATTTTTATATGGTCATAATTTTTGAGCGCTAAAATATTTTACAATGGAATTTAAAATTTATGGATAAATGTAAGTCTTGTTGAGAATAGTACAAAAAATATTTTATCAACTTGTTGCTCTCACGTTTGGGGCAGGTACGTCTCAAATTTTGGGGCTTTTTTGTTCCCAGGCTTCAATCATTGCAATTTTTTGCAAACCATCCTTATTTGATATAAGTATAAACATATAAATGTTTGGAGTTTGCTCCATGTCTGGAAGTTAGCTATCTCAAACACCAAAAAATGCTGGATCCGCCCCTGCTTGTGTTTATCCCAGCGGCCCAGTCAAAGCTTGATTGAGGGACTTCTATTATCAGTAAATAGTGGTAAAAAAAAGTTGTTTCAAACTAAAAAACGCATAAAATTTTATTAGCAATGTTTTGTCTTGGCTTTTAATAAATAATAACAATGATAAATTCCATTAATAAAATTATTTAGTAATTAACTTTAAAAATAAACACCAAGGGAAGGTACACTAATCGACATATATTGCGGTTTATTACAACATATTGCAATATTATTGCGCGTTCAATTTAAATTGCTATATATTGCTCAATTAATTGTCCAATAAAATATCAATAAAATTATACAAATGTAATGTGTTTGTAAATGTAATTTAGATGCATTTAAATATAAATAATTCTGATGCTTATCTAATTGCCTGTGTCATTTTTTTGTTTTACATAAATTTAATGGGTTTACAAGCAGTAGCAAGATTGTTGTTAAAATATTACAATATAATTGCAATATAATTGCAATATAATTGTAATATTATTGCAATATTATTGCAACTAATATTAGGTAATCGATTTTATGATTGTAACTGAAGTTACAAGCATGCTTTCATTGGACTTTATACTGCAGTGTAAGTGCGGCCAGGCAGGTTTCTTCGGCGCACGTTAGACATGGCTTGCATGAGCCCAGCAAACCTGTCTGGCCACACAAGATACCCGTGCAAAAATAACATAGTTATTTATAAGTAAAGACTCATAAAATTTTATTAATGGTGAATATATGTGCAATGAAACGAAATTTTTTTAATAGAAAGTACGAGAGAAGAACTTTACATTTTACGGCTGAGTCTACTTCTTCTGAAGAGGAAATTACTAATAGTAGTTCTCAGTCCGACTGTAGCAATACAGATGATAATGTTAATGATGGTAGTTTTACCCAAGAGACAGAAGAAATTGTATCTATAGTATCTGAGGAAGAAAATCAAATTCTAGTATCTGAGGAAGAATCGAGTGCTTCCATGTTTCAGTTCTTTAGTTCTAATCCATTTGAATGTTCTTTATTGGATTCAATTGTTAACAAAAAGTTTATGTTTTTAACCTTGTTGTATTTAATGATTAGCAATTCATTTACTGAAATCGCATTTGATAGATTTTTGAAGACTTTGCTGGTATGTTAGATGTAGTTTAAATTGTGCAATGTACTTGTAAATGAATATTGTGAAGCTAATAAAATTATCAATCAACTTAGTCCTTAGCAATAAATGTTGATCTGGCTATTTATCTCTGGCTGCTACCAGAAATGGTGCACATTGCCAATAATTCGTAAAAAAAGTCTGATAAAGTAATGCAGAACGTTCCTAATTATAAAACATTTTACTTGTGAAAATTTTATCCGACTTTTTTTACAAATTATATATTATATAATATTTTACAATTATATATTATATATTTTATATCTATAGTTTTTACAAATTATTTTTTTTACAAATTATTAAATTATAAAAATAATGAAGTATGTCATATTTTTATTTCAACTTGAGGCTGGGGTCTGGCCCAGGCTTAGTTTGGTTGATAAAGCTTGAAAAAATATATTTTTAATTTTTAAATTTTTTTAATAGATTTTTCGCTGTATAAATGACATGCCGTCATCTCATAAAATGATTCGTAGATTTGTTACTAAAAATATATTCTCCCATACTGAACCAACGCATAAATATTATTATCATAATTGCTGCACAGCTTTAGTTGACACGTGTAAAATAAATACTCATTGTTCATCCCATATCTTTATATTGGATATCATTAGCCAAATGAAACTTGTTTTATTTCTGAATTTGGATGCAATTAAATCATATCAATTGGAAATTATGTCAGGTAAAAGAAAGAGTGATTTTATTTCTAGACCAAATTTTGTTGAAAATATGAAGTCTGCAAATGTTTTACATATTCATTTATTGATGTCAACAGATGGTGGAGAACCATACACAAAAAAAAAGATTACAATGTGGCCATTTCATGCTATTATTTTAGATTTACCATCTTATAAACGATTCCTATTTGAAAATACACTACTTCTTGGTTTATGGTTCTCATTATTAAAACCTAATTGGAATGCTTATTTAAAGGTAATTAAATTATTGATTGTTATTTTTTATTTTAAAAGTAGTTGTCAATGGAATTACCTATAGTAGTAGAATTCACTGTTCCAGCCGTGACAAGAATAAATTGGGCAACGTTACTATATTACTAACTTTTTTTTAGGAGTACATCAATGGAAAACTGTTTGAAACACCCCTTGAAATTAACAATATCCAAGTAGTTATTCATATTGTTGGTTTTGTTTTCGATTTGCCTGCAGTGGCTTCAATCATCAATCATAAGCAGTATAATGGTGAATTTGGATGTCACTATTGCGAACATCCTGGTAGAACAATTGAAAGAAAACATGGTTCCGCTAGAATTTATTCACATTCAGATACAAATTATAATCTTAAAACATCTGAAATGTATGCCATATATGCTAGATTAGCCGAAAAATCAAAAGTATCTGTATTTGGAATTAAAGGCTCAAACATCTTTAGTGACATTTCATTTATTAAAGTGCCAGATATGATACTTATTGATGTGTTATGATACTTATTGATGTATTGATTTGTTTTACGAAAATTGCTCAAAAAAGCTTTTAGTTTGTTTATTTTCTGTTACCAATAAACACGAATCATTTTTTATTGGTAGTGCAAAATTAAATGCTATGGAAATCTTACTTGCTGATCAAAAAATGCCACATAACATGCCCAAGCCATTAACTATTAAATCATTCACACATTGGAAAGGCCATGACTTTAAAAACTTTATTTTATACTTAGCAGTTCCATATTTTTTACCATATTTGAATCCTGACTGCATGATGATGATTTATTCTCTAGTAATTGGTATGCGTTTGTGTAGCAGTGAAATATGTTTAGATAAGGTGTTGCTTATTAATCAGCTGTTTAACTTTTATCAAAAATCATTGTCTGAGTTGCTTCCTTTATATATGAATACTATAAATGTTCATTTGCTTGGTCATGTTAGCGATATTATTAAAATGCATGGAAGTGTTACAAATTACTCAATGTTTTGTTTTGAAGCTCGGCTAAGTAATTATAAAAAAATGATGAAGGGAACACATGGTCATCCACAACAGATTGTACAAAAATTTCTTGACTTCAAAACAGCTTCTTGTTTTTTGCAAACAACAGATCATCCTAAAAAAGTTGAAGTTTGTAAAGCATTAAATATTGGCATTATTGAACAAGAAGAATTGCAGTTGTTAAATCCGGGCAGATTGTTGAAACATGGTATTGTTTACCATTCAAAAGGTTATGGCAAACATAACAGCTACACTTGTCAATTTGGACATAATAAGTTTGGTATCATATTAGATTTTCCTTTAGTTGACAATGTAATACATGTTCAGTTACAACTATTGAATGTGAAGTGTAAGTTAGTTTCTACTTTTGGTGATATGATTGGAAATTTGGAAATTAACTTTGATGATGACTTTTTTTTTATTGTTGAACAAACAAAAAACATTGTTGTTATTTCAGCTGACACTTTAGTCTGCAAATGTATATTAATTAAAAGTAAATTAGATACAAAAGATGTATTAATTTTGACACCATTGAAAGAACTTTTCGAATATGCTTAGGGTGGCTAAATGTAAATTTTGTAATTAATAAATATGCTTCACATCATGCATGTGTGTTTTTTTATACTAACAAACATTTTTGTTTTTAATATTTTGATAATTTGATTTAAAATAATTTGATAATTTGATTGAATTTTTTTACAGGTTTATATTTTATTAAATAATGACTTACCCTGATAGAAATAGAACAAAGAAATTAGATTTTGTAGACACTCAAAAGCTTTCTTCTACGTTTGTTCTTTTATGGTACAAGGGATTGTGAAAAAGATGAGCGGCATACCTCTCCCATATCACTTTCAAATAAACTTTTTAAGCATTATTCATCCGTTGAATGCCTTGAATTTCAAGTGGTAAGTGTGTTAAAAAAAACTGACAGCATTTACCATACATAATATAATTAAAGTCCACCCTTAAATTTTATCCCCCCTCCCTATAATTGACAAAGAAGATAAATTTTGTTTTGTTTTTTTACATACCAGCTATTAGCTGAATATATCAGCTATCAGCTATTAGCTGAATATATAGAAGCCCACCTTAAAATAGAAGCAAGTATTTTAGATGCCCACGAATAAGATAAAAATGTTTTTTTTGTTTTTTTACATAGCTGAATATATAGAAGCCCACCCTAAAATGGAAGAAGTATTTTAGATGCCCACTTTTTAGGGATGTTGAAAAATGGAAGCCCCTGCTTTTATTATACTATTTATGGTGTGTTGATAATTAAATTTAATGTTTTTTACTTATTAGAAAAATGTAGTGCATGTTTCTATTGCAAATATACAACACGCAGCTGTCATCATCTATAAGGGGTCTATTACCCAATGCTGTAAATTTGAAACATTGCTAGATAACTTCATGGACGATTTTGGTGATGAAAATCCTAGCACTGATGAAGTAAGCAAGTTTGCCCTCAATTATATTGAAGGCAATACTGACGGAAAAAGAAAACATTCTGATGGAGACCAATCCTCAGGTAACTTATGTAATATAAATATGTGACAATGACAAGACAATATTATAGTAATTTTATTTAAAATTTACTCTTCTGTGTAGCGGTGAACTGGACCATGGTGCCGGAGTGCAATAGCACCCTGGGTCAAAAAAAAGGAGGTTACCTTTGTTACCAGACAGAGTTTAGTTATTATGTCTGCTACACAAGTAATAATTAATTAAACATTTTTGCTAAATAATAAAAAATGACACAAAATTCACACAAAAATTATCAACACAAGTTAAAGTTGCACTATCCGATAGTAGGTGGGGATCTATTGGATCCACTAGTAGCCTAGCCCCTAGTACACCCATGATTATATGTTTGTAACCACAACTTGTTCATGTTTTTTTTTATAGATTCAGAGAATATTGCACCGGTCTCAGAACATACAGGCCTAAACGGACCTAAATATAAATCGACTCCTAAATCAAAGGTGCTGAAAAAAAAACATGTAAATGAAGTGTTGAATGAAAATTCAGGTAATTTTAATAATATTACAATTTTGTTTATGTAATTTCTTGAATATATTTTTATTGTCTTTTTCATTTATAGAATCAGAGTCCTTTGCATCATTTTATAACAGTCAAAAAGGATCTAAAAAAAGTGAAGCACAGATTATGGCTTTGGAAAAGCGGAAGCTTGACATGCTACTTGACAATGTTGATGCTCCCAGAGCATTGATGCTTCCAATAATTAGTGATGTTCCTAAAACAAAACACTGTGGTTCACCGAAGTTAAGCAAACTATCTTGTTTAGAAGGTTAGTTACAGTCCTATAGTATGAATACTGTGTTTGCCTAAGTTCTACCATATTGTACTTGTACATAGAAGTGCTATATATATTTTTTTAACATTAGCAATTTTGATTGAACAAAAGAAACTTCTTTTTGAACAAAAGAAGACCAACAAACTGTTGTCTGAAATTTTGCGCCCAATAGAAAAAGAATCTGTAAATAATGATAATGTAAGTCAATTTAATTTTTGTAATTTAATTAAAAAAAGCTCATCCAATGAGAGCACAACTTGCTAGTATTTACCAAATTGAATAAAAGAAATATTGATTGCTAAAGGAAAGGTACATTTATATACAAAAGGTTGCATAATTTGACCATCCATTGAAAAATCTTTACTAAATCCGAACTTATCTGTATTATACTTTTTAGGCCGTGTATACTGGTTTTGATGCCGAATTTAAATTGCACGACATTCAAAAACGAGAACCATGTAGCTTTGCAAGAAAATTTATTTTGTTGCGATTCGGAAAGGAGTTTACTTGCACGCGTATTTGTGAACCAAACGGACCTACTGCACGCATTCGTATGGAGAATGAAGAAATTCAGGAAGTTAAAGGTGCACTTGACAAAGTGTTTACGTCTTACAACTGGCGTGTTGTTCGGGCGAGTATTAATCAATTTTTCCGAGACAATAAAAGTAGTACAAAAGTTTGAAGACTAAACAAATGAGTGACATTTTTTTTGTGGTGTGGGGTTGTCAGCGTTTTTCGCTTATCCCCCCCCCCCCCCCCATTCTATCTGTAATGTGTTTTGTATGTTTTGTGTGTTAAATAAATACACCATCTTATTTATTCTAAATTTAGTTGTTTATTTAATTTTTAAAATTCGAATTTAGTATGAATTGAAAGTGTACATAAATGTTTCTTTCAAATGTCAACTTTCAGCGCTGCTGCTAGACGATAATAAAATTGCAAAGAGTTTTATTGTCAATATTGCGAGATTATTGCCCAATATAATTGCAATTTTATTGCGAGATTATTGCCCAAGATATTGGCCAATATTATTACAATTTTATTGTCAATATTGCAATATTATTGCCCAATATATTGCCAATCCATTGCAAGTTATTGGCAATATTGGCCAATAAAATTGCAATATTATTGCAATTAAAAAAAATATATATTGATTAGTGTAAGCCAGAGCTGCCTATCAAAAATTTTAAGTTACAACATATGCAATGTATTTTTGCAAGTTACAACACTTGCATTGAGTTTTTGCAAGTCAGAGCACTTGCGATGAATTTTTGCAAGTCGCAGCACTGACTTTAATTTGACTGAGGTTAATTGGATCTTATTGGATCAAAAACTAATAATGCACATAAATATTTTTAAGTAACTAAACATCTAAACAATTTAAACTTAACTTACTGATTGTGTTTTAAATTGGCTATAGAAAAAAAAATTACCCCCCAAAAAAAGTAATAAGTATATAAGAATACAACTATTAATAAATTATGTGATTGAGCAACAACCTTCACATCAATAATAAATAACTATAACTAAATACTAAGAGCAAAAAATTATGTAATAAAATAATAAATCATATAACTGAAATTAAACCAACTTATATTCATTCTTTCTCGATCAACTTTATCTAAACAGTAATTAAATTTTTAATAAAAAATCAAATTAAGAATAAAACTTTTTTTTTTACAAAGCCTTATAAGCATTTTCATATTCTATATATATTGATCTCTAATAAAAAGTATATAACTATTGTAATATTAAAGAGATAAAATAACTAACTGATGTTTTTAGCTGACTCAGCCATTGGAATATTTTAAGCAGCTAAAGTAGTATAACAAATATTTTTGTATTTGTTCAAGTTATAAAATAACTTAAACAAATAAAAAAACATTTAAATTAAATGTTCGATGTTAGATAACAAAGAAATAGGTCTGTAATTAGACGGTTCAAGCTTTGACCCATTTTTGTGAATTGGAATAATGTTAGCAATCTTAAATACGTCAGGAAATATTCTATTTCTAAATGAGCTATTAACCATTTTAGAGATTGGTTCAGATATAATTTTTGAAGATAGTTTAAGAATTGAAGTCGGAAAACTATTAGGGCCAATGGTTTTCCCATGATTCATGTTTATTAACAACACTGAGTAGTAATTTTTAAACCACCATAATATCTATAACAAAAGAAGAAATTGTTTCAAATTCTTCTTTTGTTACAGGTGAAAGGAAAAATGAGTTAAGAATAAAAAAAAGTGTTCATAAGCAGAATTGTAGAATTTAGAGTCACAAAAAATTAAATACTGTGGCAGAATATAATCAGTACAATCCAAAAATTTACGTTTGGTGCGCTATGTCTTCAAACTGCGTCATACCTTTTTTTACAAACTAGCTATCAACGGCTAAAACTACTTTAAGATACTTAATGATTTTTCATCCAGTATTGGCTCAAATTCAAATTGTCAGAAAAATCTATTTCCAATTGGACGGAGCTCCTGCACTCTACACTACTAGTATTAGAACTTGATTAAATGAGAAGTTCCCAGAAAGATGGGTTGGCCGACAAGGTCCAATCGAATGGGCTGCTCAATCCCCAGATACGACGCCGTTTGATTTTTTGTAGATATGTTAAGCATAAATTATTTTAATAAAAAATAACAAATACTGACGATTTGAAAAAAAAAAGGATGATTATGATTAAAGAACAAAATGGAGCTTATATTAAACAGTTATTATAATTATTTTAATCTATTAATAAATGATGACAATTATAAATCTATTTATTTATTTATCGATATAATCGGCTGAGATATAAAAGTTTATTTTTATGCATAGAAGTATTGAACGCTCTGTATGTCTTCTAGAAAATGATTTCTTAAATATGTTTTATAAAATACGTCTTTTAGATAAATACCTGTTTGTGACTATTTTGCTATACTAGATCACATATTAATGTTATTTACCAAAACATAAAATTAAAGGATAAACAGCGACATTAATTTAGCGCTGAAGATGGGTACCAACCGCTTTAATGTTCTAATCATTAAATTTGTGAAGAAAAAAATTTTACGCACTGATGTTTCGAACAGTTATTAAATTAAGATTTAGAAAGAGATTTTTTTGTTTCAGAATGTTGCATTTAAAACAAAGAGAAATAAATATAATTTTCTTCACTTTTTAAATCAATTTGTGCTATTTTTTTTATAATTTTGCAGGAAATTTTATTTTAATTCTAACTTTTTTTACTATTGCTTGTTTGATCTCTGTAAGTCTGGATCTAGTAAGCCTCGCTTCTGTAAGTCTCATCTTTGTGATCCTAATCTATGTAAACCTCATCTAGAACATCTAAACTTCAATAATTCAAGTTATAGGAAAATATTTCACAGTAAGTTAGGTGTTATTGTTATCAATTTTTAATTTCTATATTCTTCTTGTAAACAGAAAGTTTTATTAATGAAAAAATTGTAAAAAGAGTTATTTAGACGATTTTTAGTTTGGCTATTTTTTAAAAAACTTTTAAGGTACCTGTTTTTTTGAGTAAAATTTTTTTTAACAATTTTTTTTTTAACTTAACAAATTTTCTTGATAAAAAACGGTATCATATTGTATGTTGCGCTAATCAATAAAGATGAATCATATTATATAGTTTATTATCCTATTAAACTTTTTAACACCTCCACTTATCTATTGTTATTAGACGCTTAAATACCTCCACTTATCTTTCGTTATTAGACATTTTAATACGTCCATTTATCTAACGTTATTTTGATTAATTGCACCCCACTAAGGATATGATTCTGAAATTGATGGGATGCTTTATTAAGTTTGTTTTGTAACTTTAAAGTTTTTACATGAAATATTATAACTATTATAAAATATATATAACAAATGTTGTATATATTTTTTTAGAAAAAACATTTACATCCTACTTTTTCTCTTTTGAGAGAAAGTAGGATGTAACTTTTTGACCTTTTGAGCTATACTCACATGCAAAACAATTTGCTTGTCAACTTTTTTTGGAACCTTAAAATTTGTTCAGAGTTTGAATAATTGCAATAATTTGAATTTTTGTTTTTTTTGTTTAAGTTATTAAGGTGCTCTAAGAAGACCAAACTGACTTAGCACAATTCACCGAGAAGGAGCACTTAACCAGGAAACTCATGCCTCCTTTCTTATCAATATCGCTTATTGGGCCAGAACTGGCATCTATCTTTAAACTTCTTGGTTCTGAGCTAGAAATATAACCACTGTTCTCCAGCTGCTAACTACTGCGTCACTAATGCAAATAAAATGGCGATGTATTTGTGCAATAGAGCAAAGTGCTCTATGCTTTTTTGAAAAAGTTGAGAGAAGGAGTGCTATCAGATACATACAAAAATAATAAAATCATTTTTATTCAATATAACAAAAACCGTACAGCCAAAACCGTCATTATTACCATGGTTGCAGGACCCTATTTCTCCATCATTTATAAAGTCTCCTAGCAATCCAAAATTTAACTCGATTGAAAATATAAATGTCATTCAAAGGAAGAGCTTCCATTGTCGAAGCTTCAACAATTAATACACTCAAAGACGCAATTCAACGAATCTAGATACAAAAATTAACTCCAAGAAAAAGTATGAGCAATTTTTGCCTAGATGGATTACTGACGACTCGGTGAGTTATGGGAGAGTGAGGAAAAGTGGGACATTAAAAAACATTTCTAGAATAACTTTAATATCTTTAAATAACAAAAATTATTATTTAAAAACTATTAACACCATAAACCAAATAACCTTTATTAAAATATTTTAAAGTTTTTCACAGTATAATTACACAAAAGTGATGGGGGAGAAGTGTGAGGTTAGTAGCAATTTTCGATACTATTCTGCTGTAATAAATATAAATATTCAACTTAAGTAGTCTGAGATTTAAACATCTTTCGCACCTTTATTTTTATTGAAATTTATCTAAAAATTATAAGTAAAATCCATTGTAACCCTTTATAAACAATTACCAAATAAATAAAAAATCAGGTTAAAAATGACGATTTACCGATACAAAAACTGTGCTAAAAAACTCCGCGCAAGAGACTGAAAAATAGCTTAAAAGAATGTTGTTATTAACTTTTTTTGAATGTTATTTATTATTTTGTTATTTATAGGTTAAAAATGTATTGCTAGCAATGGAATGAATGAGCATTTTTTTTCGACAGTAATCATTTACTATTGAAAAAAAAATAGATTAAAAAAAATCGACTGCTGTTTTTACAAAATTTCATTAGCAGCGTTTTGTTTTTCACTTAGAAAATATATTTTTGTAATTAAATCATCTATTAAAATTTTATGTTTTTAATTTTGTGTTTATTATAGTGATTTGAAAGTGGAAAATACTCGAATATCTTATCAAAAAAAAACCCGATAAACTCAAAGCACCAATTAGTACTCCGATTTTTGCAGATCATAAAGCAAATAATTTTTATACAATACGATAAAATATTATTATCAACAATTTGGGTAGGGTAGATCAAATCTAATGGAATAAAGTTACGGAATTAGAATAGTAACCTAATGCTCAGCAAAAGGTTGTTGGGATGTCGTTTAAGATGCACGATCACTTTTTCTATTTTGAACTAAAAGTATTTTAAAAAAATAGTTATTTTTATATCAGCCCCCCTAGTGTCGCCGGCCTTGTTATATCGGCTATCATATTGATGTTAATATTTTACCAATTTATCGGACTTTCAATTACAATCAGCTACTTTTTTTCTAAGTCTAACTGTTTTTCAAGCCTAACTAATGTATCTTTTTGACTAGTAGAGGTTAGTTTTGATGCTTTGAAAATCATTAATAAAACTGAAGTTAACTGAAAAATAAATATTTTTTTATTTTATGTAGTGTTGTTACGACTTATAAATAATTCGACTAAATCGACTAAAACATTTTCTAAAGTCGACTAAAATCGATTAATACATTTTCGAAATCGATTAAAAGTCGATTTAGTCAAAATATGGAAATAATTTATTTTTTTTGAAATAAGTTGTAATAAAAATAATAAAGGATTTATATTTGCTTTCTATTTTTTACATCATATCATTTAAATAATAATTGAGCAAAACAATATGAGAGAGGGGCCACTCTGACAACGGGATAATTTATTTCCTGATTTTAATGATTTAGAGACCGCCTTAAATACATGCTAAAATATCAAAAAATCTATACAATCATATTTACATAGTTGACATTTAGATTTTGGAGTTTCACAACCTAATACCCCAGGACCCCGAGCCAGCTTGGAACTGAAAAGCATCAAGTAAACAAAAGAAAAAATTAATAATAATGAAATACACAACCGAACATAAAATTAGGCATTAATAATGCTAATGAATATAATGCGATAAATTAGATAAAACTTTAAAAGAATAAACAAAAAACTAGGTAATGGTTATATTAGTACATGCTATTGTTATAAAATGAACAAACAAAAATTAAAGATTAAAAGTTAAATCGATTGAAAAGTTAAATCGATAAAATATAAAGATTTTATGATTTTTACTTGATTAAATCGACATTTAGTCGATTAGTAAGTAACTTCATAGTCGATTAAATTGACTATTAGATTTTTCACAGTTCACTAATTTCAACTTTCGACAAGTCGATAACTAATTTCAAGTCGAAGTCGATAACAACACTAATTTTATGACACTATCTTACTATTTAATTTTTTTTTTCTTTTTTTACTTACGTCATTAACCCTTTTCACCCGGCGTCACGCTTTATCTGCGCAACATGTTTTTTAAAAAGCTAGCATTTCAGAAATATTTTTTTGAAAAGTATTTTTGCTATCAGATACATACAAAATGATAAAATCATTTTTATTCAATATAACAAAACCATACAGTCAAAACCGTCATTATTACCATGGTTGCAGGACCCTATTTCTACATCATTTATAAAGCCTCTTTAATGCTTTGTTTCTGATGCAATTGCTTATACATTTACTAGCAAAACCCACTTAATTATACAGTCAGTTATACATTTTCTATTATACACAGTCAAATATACATTTTCTAGCAAAACGCACTCAAATGGAAAGATACGGTACTGCCATAAAAACCTTAGAATTGACAAGGTAATCTCTAGTAATAAGAATATGATTCTGATGAAATATGATTCTTATGATTCTGATTTTTACAAAACACTTAGGTGATGAAATGTCAGAACTATGAAAAAATCAACATTATGTTATTTTTGGCAAAAGTTTTAATTGTTGCGAATGGACCTTCAGTTAAATAAAAAAGAACTTAAAAAAAATTGCTCTATTGACGAACTGAGACACCAACACCGAGTTAATTTAATAGGGTAGAGAGACACCAACACCGAGTTAATTTAATAAGGTAGCCATTATGAACTATTTAACTTTTTTTATTGTAGGTAAAGCTCAGATATGCCTTTTCATCTTTGATTTAATTGTCATCTGAGTTGGTCTACGACATCGAGTTTTTCAGTCTGCGTGTTAGCTTGTACAACAAAGTATTTAAGAGCGTTTTTAAACATGGGGTGAATAGAGTTAAAGTGTATAAAATAAAAAGATTTATAAATTATAGACACATTTACTGTTAACGTTAATTTTATTAATGATTTATCCATGAATCAAAGTATACCCATTTATATCTATGTATATCTATATCTATAAATGAAGTAGATTTAAATCCGACGCACCGTTCATGAAGTAGATTTAATAAAAACTGCTTAACTAGCCCCTCGCTCAACCCTAAAACCGTTATGTAAAAAATTTTTATAAATTTTTGATTGTATCTAAAAGTGACGCAACATCTAAAAACCCGAAATTTTTACAGGGAGTTATATTCTATGTGGGGAGTTATATTCTATATAGTACACAGCAAATACTTTTACAATTTTTAACGTTCTTTTAATTTAAAACAAACGTTTATTTATAAGAGAAAGCTTTAATAACGACTATATTACTGGGAATAAATTTAAAAATACAAAAAACTAACAATGGTACTAGGGAACAACTTGCTCCATTGTTGCCAAAAACACGACGGTTTCTAAAAATAATTTATTTTGCTACTTTTCTTTAGACACAATCTAAAAAGTTTATTAAAAAGAATAAAAATTCTTTTCATTGACTAGAAACATTGGTAATTTGTAAAATGAATCCAAAAATATTTAAATCCTTTAATTTTCATAGTATGTCGTTGTATATTTGTATTATACACCAAAATTTTACCGTGCCTTTAAAAATTTAACTAAATATATTTTTAACCTTTTCTAACTTTTTTTTGATCTTATTCATTTTTTTTTAATTATTTCTAATTTAAATTTGATTAATTCTACTATAACTTTAATTAAATTTTTTTCAACCTTTTCTAACTTTATTTTTTTCTTATTCTATTTATTTGATTAGTTCTAATTTTAATTTCTAATTTTATGTTATATATATATATATATATATATATATATATATATATATATATATATATATATATATATATATATATATATATATATATATATATATATATATATATATATATATATATATATATATATATATATATATATATATAAATAAATATATATATATATATATATATATATATATATATATATATATATATATATATATATATATATATATATATATATATATATATATATATATATGTATGTATATAATATAAAATTTCAAATTTGTTTTGTTTTCAGGGTGTTTACTCATTACTTTAAAATGTATTATATAATTATATAATAACGGCGTATGTATGGGTATAACAAATGGGATTATCTTTAGCTTTGCTTTAAAATTAATGCTTTGTTAATTTTTGTTATAAAAGTACATACCAAATATATATATATATATATATAAATGTATATATAAATATAAATAAATAAATAAATAAATATATATATATATATATATATATATATATATATATATACATATATATATATATATATACATATATATATATATATACATATATATATATATTTGTTTCTTCATATCATAAATATATCATAATAAGATAAAATTAAACATACACAAAAATTGCATTGCTGATAATTCACACTGATTATTAAGCCTATTTCTATAATTAACCGGCGCCAAATATCACCTTTAAATTTTAACAAATTGCTTTAAACAACAGTTATTAAATCAAACTCTTGTTTTTTAAGTATAATAAGACAATTTTCAAAATATTTACGACCACGAACAAAAGTTCAATATAGTTATTAATTAATATTGTATTAATTTAGTTAATTCTAAGTTGACCCAATACTCAAGCAAGTCCTTGCAATAACAAATTAGAAAAATTTAGAAATGCTTGAATCCAATTGAACGTGGTCATTAATACCGTTAACGTCAATAACATTTTGAAATGATAACGGCATTATTTAGAGTTGATCTCATTAGCTTTGTTAAGAGGCAATTTAGCATCAAGCTCTAAGATGCATTGCAGTGGTTAATCCTTTAAAGAAAAAACAGTGTAGAATGTTAAGTAACACTTTGAACAACACTTGAAAATAGCAAAGATAATTTAATAGAATATTTTGAAAGTTTATCAATGTTACGGTGTTTCAAGTTCTCTTTAGTCTATTGTTTGTTATAGCTTATTAAATTCAGACGTCAACGTTATTATTGTTGTAAGAAAAGTCTTCTTATCGTATACAGTAACTTCCCTTTTTCAAAGATGTAAGTGGAAATACACAATCTTCTATTAAGACCATAGTTTTCTATATATTCAAATATACTTTGATAATACGATTTGGGTTGTTATAAAACGAGAGTTTTTTACTTAAAATGTGGCATCTCGTTATAAGAAGCACATTCTATGCGTTCTTTTTTATTTTTGGACTAGTGGGTAACATTTTTGTTATTTCGTTGTACATTTTTAAAATGAAACAGTCTCACTTTCGATGGCTCGTTATACACCACGCGTTGTCTGACACCCTCTGGGTGACTGTGTCATTTATGCATATCTTACATTTACTTTTCAATAATGGAAAATGGAACATAGGCGTTTTTATGTGTAAATTTATTACATTTATTGGTCCGTTAACAGTAAACGTTAGCGCTTGGATTTTATGTTTAATGGGATACGAGCGTTACAGAGCAATATGCAACCCTTTTTCTCGCCGATTTTCTCGTAAAATTATCCATAAATCAGTTGCAGTGTGTTGGGTTATATGCATTGGTCTCAATTTTGTTTTAATTTGGCGTTTAAATGTTGTTGATGGTAAATGTTATCCGGTGTTTAAATCCCACACTGAGTACGTTCTTAACGTCTCAATGACATTTATGGCTAATAGCGTTATACCTATTGTTCTACTATTTTATTATTTACTATGTGTAGTTGTGACTTTTCGCAAAAGAGCAATTTATATAAATAATATTAAACGTTTCAAGAGCTCGATCATAGTAGGATCTTCGATTTTTCACTTTAACACCAATGAATCTATTGAGATAAAACCCAACATATCAGAAAAAAGTAACTTTAACGCCAATGAGTCTATTGAGATAAAACCTAACGCATTAGAAAAAAGTAACTTTAACCCTAATGACTTTATTGAGATAAAACCCAACGTATCAGAAAAAAGATTATCCATTAGAGGTATTCCGAAAACCTTAGAGCGGTTATCAACGAGAGAAGCCATTATTCCAGAATCTGAATTATTAAATATGTCTTGTACATCAGGCCCTACTTTTGATTCTTCAGAAACAACTTCAAGCGTAACTAATGAAAAAATAAAACGTCAAGTAGTTAGTCTTTCTATGCATTCGGTAGATATATTTCAACCAAATGAGGCACTCTTTAATAGACGTAATAAAAGACACTGCGTTTCAAACTATGATCAAATTCCTTCGGAAAATTTTACATCTGCTATAAAATTGCCTCCAAGAAGTAATAGTTGTCAAAATTATAGTACTAGTAATCATATTTTTTCATTGGGTCGTGCTTCAACAGGTAGTTTCCCAAAGTACGAGTTTTCAGCTAACAGAAGCAGTCGTACTTCTATAACTTCAATATCCCGAAGACGTCAAAGTATGCAAAACTTACTTATAAAAATGAATAAAAAAAAAGATTCTTTCACTGAGATTGCAAATATTCGAATAAAGGACTTGCGAGATCGAGCAACGGTTAACATACTCCTGTTTACAGCCGTAGTTTTCTTTTTATCAACATTCCCATATACCGCATTTGATATTGTAATATCCATATTACAAAAAGATACTTTTATAGGAGTCGGTAAGTCAGAATGCAAAACTACATTAGAAGTGGTTAAAGAGTGGTTGTATATACTACTGCTTTCTAGGTCTGTTATGAATGTTTTTATCAATTGTGGAAAATTTTCTTATATTTATCAATATGCAAATAAATTATTACGTTGTACACAAAGGCACAGTAACCAGAGTGTAACTAAATAATGTATGTTTTTTCTAAGTTAAGTTTAAAATAACGACGAAATATTTATTTGACTGTTTCTTTGGAAGAAAAAACAAGAAAACAAGCTACTGACGTCAAAGAAGAATAAAATTTTAAGAATGATGAAATCAAATATAACAAATTGAAAAAAACCAAATACTAAACAAACAAAAAAATAATAATAATACAAAAAAAAAAATTAATGAAATATGAAAACGCAGACAAAAGAAAAAACGCTAATAGAAAGTATCATTAAAATTAATTTGTATTTAAATTATAACTTTTGTTGCATCGTTAAACTTTAATTTGTTTTTTGTACATTGCACTCTATTAAATTGTTGATGTTTTAATGATATTTACATTGATCGCTAAAACAATCAGAATAAACACAATTAAGAATAAATAGTTTAAAACCAAAACAAATTACTGTTACAAATCTTAAACATTATTAATAAACATTTATAACCAGTACTTCTTAAAAATAAACATTACGTTTAATAGAGACCATAAATAAGCAAATAATATTATAACTACATAAAGTACAGTGGCAAAGGAAATTTAAATATTGTCGCAATTTCAAATATAATATAGTGCCTGGGAGTTACTTAAAGGCTTGCCAGGTAGCTGACCAAAAAAATACTCGAAGATAAAGTTATTTTTTTTGAATAGATTTAATCAAAGATTTAATTGCATAATAATAAATACAAATTATATAATACATAATAAATTATATAACGCATGATAAATAAATAAAAAGGTTTTACATAAAAAGATAAAACAAATTAATATTTATTAAGATTTTATCGCGGAATTTTAGCCAACAATAGAGGCAAAGGTTTATGGTAAACTTGAATTCAAGTGACAAATGAATGAAAAATGTTATGACTGAATAACTTTTTAATTTAATAAAAGTAATGAAAACATACCCACAATTGATTATTATGTTTTATAAAATTCTTTAAGCAATAAAGATTTCTAAAAAAAATGTATGTTTACTTAGAACTCAAAATATTTGCTTTTGTCTGTTATCGTTAATCTTACGTCATAATCATTCTTCAGAAGGTTTACGTTGAGATCACAGTATATTAAAAAAAAGTCATTAAAAAAATGTAAATTGAATATAAAGCTTTAAAGAATTTTGTAGGATACAGAAACTCTTATAAAACACCTTTTTTTAAACCTTCAGACATATTATCCAGTTGGCATGTGTGGTCCAAAGAACGCCTGGACGTTCTCAGAAAAAGTAAAAAAGCTGAATAGCATTATTTGAATATTTAAATAAATATAGTTTTTCAAATTTGCGATATGTTAGCTTAAAAATACCACCGTTAAATTTAAGAAGGAGGTTTTATGAAACGAATTATCGGTACAAAACAAACAAATTTTTCGTTAAGCATGCGCAGATAAAACATTTACAGTAATGCGATTGAGCAAACATTTTGCAATAAACTATTGCTTGGTTGTTTTTTTCAGTTTTTTAGAGGCAAAAATATGGAGAAAATTTTTATCATCTTCCTGTGACACTTAAAAAGTAGTGTAATTAACAGCAATGATATTTCCAACTTGGCAACTAGCCAAGTAGTAAACTCTATCTTTTTGGCAATTTATTTAAAGTTCATTAAAAAAGTGAAATCAATATTTAATTCATCCAATAAAAAAATAAAAAATTATCTAATGGTTAAATTCCCGCCGTAGTTAATAATATATATTTTTTGTAGTATAAAATTTTTAATTTCACAAGTGTTTTCGGAAGTTATAATTTCAGATGCAGGAATATTTAGATACTTATATATATTCCTTCTGCATCTTATAAAAAAATGCAAATAAACATTAAAATCATCTGGCCAATTAGTAACCAACCCACTTTAGTATTGAAATAGTTTTAAAAGTTTTATTTTTTGAGGTTTAAAACATTGAGGTGAAAATTAAAATAAAATTCCCGGTGGGAAGTCGGCTAGCGATTAGCTAGCTATAATCGTTACGATAAAGACAGCGATTTGGCCACGAGGATCGCTAGCTTTTTAAGTTAGCAAAAAGCTATCGATATTTGTAAAGACAAAGACAGTGATTTGACTACGAGGTCAGCTAGCTTAGTAAGCTAAAGACTCGCAGGCTATCGTAGCTACCGTCATATCGTAATAAAATCGCTATCAAAAAAATTTTGGTATGTAGCTATCAACCAGCTATAGATTTGTAGATATTTTGTAGCTAGCTAAAAAGCTACGATATGTAGCTAGCGACACATTGATACAAAATCGCAATGTTTAAAGTTCAGTTATTCTCATAATTAAAATAAATTCAACACTAAAAATCGAATTTTTAAAGATGTTAGAGATATTAGTAAAGAATAAAATAAGAAAAAAAAAATCGCTTAAAAATCGCTATAAAGCTAGCTTGTCGCTTGCTAGTCGCTAGCTCATTTCCCAGCGGGTTTCAATTCTCGCTCATTGAAATCTCAATCAGTAACCCGTAACTTCATTTTTTAGGTGATATTTGATTTTAGTTTTTCTGGTCAAAAAAAACAACCAAGGTAGTTACTATGTTGATGTCAATAAGAAAAGAAAGTCATACAGTTATTCTTTTCTTTTTAACGCTATACGATAATACGATACATTTATACTCAAACTTTGAAAAGATTGTATTCAAGACATCATGATATGTTGGGTCGAAAAACTTTACTTTTTTTTAAGATTTCAAATAAATTTCAGTGAATTCAAATTATTTAAAAACCCTTTAAATAAAAACTATGGTAGTTTCAGTGAATTCAAATTAATTAAAAACTAAACACAATAGACCAAGAATACCTTTTAAATTTAGCAATAATTTAAGTTAAAAAAAAAAATGCTAATGAGGTAATTAACTACCATATTATTGATAATTTTGCTATTTTAAAGGTCAGAGAAGTCAACCCTATTGGGTTTATATTTTTAATTAAAATGTTTAATAAATGTCCTTCGTTACCAATAACTTTTTTTTTGCATGATGATATGTTTTTACAATGTGTTTAAGTGTATATGTTTTGTAATGTGTGCGTGTGTGTATATATATATATATATATATATATATATATATATATATATATATATATATATATATATATATATATATATATATATATATATATATATATATATATATGTATATATATATATATACATATATATATATATATATATATATATATATATATATATATATATATATATATATATATATATATATATATATATATATATATATATATATATATATATATATATATATATATATATATATATATATATACATATATTATAATCATTAAAAGTACGTGCTTAAGTTCATATCACTAAATTGTAATTAACATTTTTTGAAAACATTTCCTTTTTTTGATATGATAAATTATCTTTTAATTAAATGCTGTCTATTCTTAAATACAAAAGAAACAAAAAAAGCAATGGTCTCTATTTTAAAAACGTTGATTTGGCTTTGTTTTAAGATATAGTGTTAATTTCAATTCTGTTAACATTTATCGCGCTATTTGGCACATTATACCACTATCGCGATTTGAATCTGTCATTAAATAAAACACATAATAGTTATCTCCCTAACAAAGGTTCCGTTTCACAAATGACGTTTCTCTAATGAAAATTATGCCGTTTAATTACACTTTTTACATTCCAAATACTACAAATCCGAGCTGAAAAACTTCAATTATTATCAAGGTTACATATTATTTATTATTTGAGAAGAATATTTTTATATACGAAATATAATTACTATATATGAACATATCAATATAATTTGGAAGAGAACTATCTCGGTTAAATATTAGAATAAAGCGTTTCAAAAACCACACTGAAAAATTAACCTATTCGATTATTAAAATATAAAAAGTAAAATTTTAATTTAATCTGTGAAAGTTGACAAATTTTGTCATTTGTGGTTATAAAGTTTAAAGGTGAGTTTCCACTCATCGGGAAAAATAATCACGTGAGCATGCGCAGTTTTCTTTCGGACAAATAAAAACTTTTATTACGCATACGCATTAAGTAATGACACATTTTTCAATGGCTTAAAAATAATGAATCAACACCTAATGTTTTACAAAAGCGAAACATAATTATCGTTAGTTATGCGATACATAATTAGTGTTATTACTTATTTTAATCAAAATAATGTATAGAGCAAGAGCATATTATGTAAGAGCATATAAATATAAAGAAAAAGTAAATATAAAGAAAATATAAATATAAAGAAAAACACAAAATAAGTAAAACCATTGTAATATAATTATATTACAAATCATCATTATTACAATTGTCAAACATAAAAAGTAATGGATTATCAATTATGCAGCATTAGGCTAAAAACCAGCTGGTGAGATTATTGTTTTACTGACCTTAATAGCTTTTTGTTCACGAAATAAGTTTTTCCTGTAAACGCGAAATATTGCAAAACAAAAAATCTGACATGTTAGAGTGAAACGAAACTTAAGTATATTAGTTGTTAACGCTATTGTTTTAGAAAAAATAAAAAGTAATATGTCACTAAAGTTAAAAATTTATAAAAAAAAAAAAACAAACTAATAATACACAAGTTGAATTAGTTATATAGAAAGGTGAACTCTTAAAAGGTGGATAACTCTGAACTTATTTATTATAATAAATTATTATAATGAATAAGTTCAATTTAACTCTGAACTTATTCATTATCATAATTTATCATAATTAACTTATTTCAATGATTATATATCTATTTACTATGATATCACCTTTAGGTTATCAGTTATTAACTTTTAATATCTTTAATTAACTTTTAATTAACTTTTTATTAGCTAATTCAATTTAATTAGCTGATTAACTTTTAATATCTTTATATTGATTATATATAAATTATCTCAAAGAACTTTAATTTAGAATTAAAAAAAGAAAAAGAGAATGGCAAGTCATATTTTCCACCAATAAAGTGCACAGTAAATAATTCAATATAGATTACCCAGTGGGCACGGTGCGTTTTTTAAGACGTTCTTCAGACGTTTTTAATCGTTGTTTTAAATGTTGTTTTAATTGTTGTTTTAATTGTTGTTTTAAATGTTGTTTGATATGCAATTAAATATAACAGTCATTATAAGTTTTTTATAATAATAAAACAAAAACAAAAAAAATATTCAAAAAAATAATTATTTCTTGCTGAGTCAGAAAAAGTTTGTTAATATAAAATTTGCCACGAAATGGCGATATATACATATCCAATGCCGAAAAGCAAAATTTTTAAAAACTCATCAACTGTTTTGTTAATGTGGTGAATCTTTTGATTTATTTATTTTTGATAAACAGTGTAGTGCTCAGTGATTTCTCATCAAGTTCTT